TCCACTCCCCCTTCACCCCCCCTTAGTACCACTCCAACGGCTCCAACAAGTCCACCCCCCCTCAGCGGCAGCTGCAGCACAGGGAGACAGAGGAGGAGGAGGAGGAGGAGCAGGGAACAGCACACAGTGGCTTCACCCCCATACCCCTCACCCCCAAACCCTAATTCAGGAGAACGGGCTGTAGGAGGGGTGGGGCGCCAGTAGAAGCACGGGGGACAGCGGGGAGGGCAGGGGCAGCGAGGAAAGGGCCGCCCACGGGCCTGGCACAGCCGCCCGAACCGCGCGCAGGCGGCCCGAGCCGTGCGCGGGCCTGGCGCAGCCCGTACGAGCCGCGCGCGGGCCTGGCGCAGCCCGTACGGGCCGCGCGCTGGCCTGGCGCAGCCCGTACGGGCCGCGTCCGGGCCTGGTGCAGCCCTTACAGGCCGCACGCAGCCTGTATGGGCCGCGCGCAGGCCACGACGGGCGACGGGGGGCGACGCGCGGGTCCGCGTCGCCCGTCGCAGTGCCTCCCGAGGGCGACGCGCCGAGTGACGGGGCAGAAGCCCGCCGCGTGCCACGGGGTACACAGCGGGCAGAGAACCGCCGCGCGCCACGGGGCGCACGGCGGGCAAAAAACCGCCGCGCGCCTCGGGGCGCACGGCGGGAAGAAAAACTGCCGCCCGCCAGGCCCCTAGATTCGTTTTGAGGTAGTCTGAGGCCTCAGAGTACACCGCTCTTCCTAGTCTGGCTGTCAGAGTGACCTGATTTTTTAAGTCTGAGATTTCAGGCTACACTTGCATTTCTACGCTGAACATACAGAGTCAGTCAATTTTCCTGTTATAATGAAAACACTAAGTAACCTTCTTACATTTCTTCTTGATAGTCTAATACAGGTTCACGTTCTACTACTGCCTCGTCTACAGGCTCCTTCCCAGCCCACGAGGGCTCCTCTCTGTGCCTTGCAGCAGGTGCTGTGACCGGCCGACGCTTCTTGTAGCTGCGCCATATCTCTACTACTCCTGGGACATCTAGCTCATAGTCTAGGAGTGAAATACAGAGCAGATCACTCAGCCTACAGTCCTTAATGCTGCCCCTCTGCCACGTTTTGATGAGATTCTGTCGGGAGAAACCGCGCTCGCACTCGACCGTGCTGAGAGGCAGCACCGCAATCGCCACCCACAGTCCGACCAGGTTGGGGTACGCCTGCTGCCAGTCGGGTGTCCTGAGCATCGCACAAAGTCCCGTGTGGAACTTGCGTTCGCTCTTGGGGGCTCTGGCAAGGACCGGACACAGTGTGCGCAGCTCCCTCACGGCTTTTTTCTTGTCAATGCCTGCAAGGCAAAACGAGACACGATGCTCCTTCCACCACCATTTCTGGTGTCCCTCCCGGACCGTGCTTCTCAATGAAGCGATAGAGCCTCTCGGTCGCCCCCCCCCCCGAATTCGTCTCCACAGTCGACGTACCGAGCCTCCAGGATCGATGTGGTGCGCACAATCTGCGTGTGCACCAGTGCGTAGTCGAGCTGCATCACAAACATACAAAGAGAATTAGTACAATGGGTCTCGGACTTAAACCAATACAATCTACACCCTCAAATTCACTTACTTCTCGCTTCTGAAAAAACTGCAAACCGCCCACACTTGCCTTTCAATCCCGCAAACTCCAGGCAAATACTGCACTTGAAAGAAGGGGCACCAGATGAGGTCTTAGTTAGAACAAGCCAACTGTAATCGGTGGACCACTTCGATTTGAATCTCTCATGCGCTTCCTCGTATTTCAACGCAGGATTATCGGATTTGGGCTTTGAGCTGTCCTGCGTGGGCCTCGGGCTGCCCTGCGTGGGCATGGAGTTGTCCTGCATGGGAGAATCGTCGCCCGCAGGAGTCACAACGGTCGATGGAGGAGGCGGAGTGGCCCAACCAAGGGTGGACTGCCGGTACCGCAGCTTCGACGGTGGCGCGGGACGAGAAGGTGCACCAACAGACGCCTCATGGGGCACCGCCTGTTGCGCAGCGGTCGCTGGTTCAGTGACGGCCTCGTGCAGAGGTGTGGTGTCTCTGGGAATAGGTGGGCGGCTCGAGCTAGGTTGCGACGGTGGCGTTGGAGGTGGATTGTGCTTCGGTAGGACAGACCTAAGAAAATCTAGACCGGTGAGAGGGTCGGATACTAGGCCGGATACTGGGCGACCGACTGCATCATCCTCGTCGTCGGGCCCATCCGCGACAGCCTCCGTAACTGCCATTGAGCCTGCCGAGCAGAGGTGTAGCGAGCTAGGAGGTGGGAGCCTGAAACAAGGGCTCCTACACTAGTTTGAGTCCAGGCAAATGGAGCGGGCCATGAGAGAGACTGCAAGAACGGTGACCAAGAAGAAGATGAGAAACCCTCGTGTAATAGGACCTCCCATCTCCCAGAAGGTCATTGCATGCACTGCATCTGGGCGTGAATCCTTGGAAGGTGGGGTGATTGGGGTTGATGGATGGAGTCACGTGAGAGAAGCAACGCGGTGCGAGCCCTGCGTTGGCAACTGGGAAGGTGGGGTGGGGTGGATGGACGTGGTGACGTGAGAGTGGCAGCGCGCTGCGAGCTATGCGCTGGCAACATTGAAGGCGGGGTGTGGTGGATGGTCGTGGTGTACAGCGAAGGTGCAGTGCGTGGCGAGCTATGTGTTGGCAAGGAATCTTGCCAACACTGCCTGCGGCGCAGCCGCGATTGGTCAGAATTGGGTGGGATTACAGCAACGCTGTACCAACGCAACTGTGAGTTGTCGCGCTGGCGAAATCGTGGGTTCCCGCCCGTGATTGACGGGGTTACTGCTCCACGCCGCCAGGCTGGACCCTGCCCCTGTATTATCGGATTCAGAATGCACCCCCGATACAAGTCTGAGGCATTGCCTACACTACTAAAAATAGTATGAATTTACAGACAAGTATGTTAAAAAAACTCTGAAACATCAGACAAGGCCCCACAAAAAAATCTTAGAGTGCAGACTAGGTACCAAAAAAAAGTCTGAACTGACTCTGATTCAGACTCTAAAGCCTAATATCTAGGGCCCTGCCGCACGCCACGGGGCGTGCGGCACAGAGAGTAGCAGTGGAAGTTGCAGCGGAAGCAACGAGGTGGTGAGCCCACCCACAGGATCGATCCAAGGGGATCGACCTGCTCTGATAGCATGTGAAAGTTTAAAAGAAATAAGAGGGTTGCACTAGCAAGAATGATGATACAAATAGCAAACCCTAGAAAGGTTGTACTCGCTATAGAGCACCCCACTACAGGCTAGAGCATAATATTATGACACATTGCACAATTAACAACACTCTACACATTTTCATAGTAATTGTAAGGAGTTTTCCCGAATTCCTTATCGGGCTTTATTTCTACGTTTACAACCCCGAATTTCGGACATGCACGTTCGGCCGACATCCACGATGCCGAGGCTCATCACGTCGCCTTCAGCTTTTCGATCGCCAAACCCGCACCCAACCTCCTTTCTTGAGGTTACATCATAGCTAGGGTAGCACTACCAGTTCATTGAGTCACATCTTCGTTATTCGTTATTCTGAGCATAATCAGTAATAAAGTTTTTTTTCCACCCCTTTAACAGAACGAACTCGTGATAATATGGTGTATTTTGATGGCCTTCAAATCAAGCAAAAGCAAACCCAACCACACTGGCCTGCTGGCATAAATGTGCAAGGCCTTGGATCAGGACAAATTCCGGCTGTTGGTCAGGTGGGTGTTCCGGTTGTTCAATTTGGTGTGTAATACAGAACACAACCGAGGCCAATTCAGCCAACGCGCGTCTTTTGATCTTGCTATGCGAGGTTTCCATCCGAACCCACATCGGAAAGCTGGGAGTCCTTGGGACGAGCGGATTCGGCGTTTCGCAAAATCACTTGCACTGTGCTGTCTGCCAGGTGTGCGTGACCCACGATTGTGTAGCTGGAGCCGCAGGTTGCCCACGGTTACCAGCAAGTTCGGGCAGGGACACAAAGCTTTGTTAGATAAGCGATTCAGCTTCTTGATCGATTGCTCAACCTCTAAGCCAAAAGATAAGTCAATTCGTCTATCTGTACCAAGCCCATAATTTCGGCTACGCAAATGTATACAGTAACATTTTTTGCCCTAAGCTTCCTGAAACAGAGAGGTTTGACTGGATGGCTGTTACAGTGCATGCTGTTTCTCGTTGCAGGTACGTGTACAGTGCGTTATTGTGCCCCTGGGATCCGACCTGTCCTCCCACATTGCCCATGTTGGCTACACTCATTGGCTGTCATACTCCGCCGCCAAGGAAAACACCAACCTCCACTATTCTTCCTGCCCGGAAAGGACTTCCGCAAGCCAGCCATCTCCAGGTGCGTTTCTACCTTTCCCCATCCCAACAGAGCTCCCAACTAATTACTCACCCATCCGTTTCTTGTGCGCCCCCGTTCGTTACTTAAAAGTCGGAAATGTACACCAACCCACCTATCGGAAATGCTCTCGTTGTGGAAATAAGCACAGAACATCAATTCAGCATGTGGAGAGCTCAAACCAGCCCTACGGATCTGTAAGCATTTTTCTTATCGTATCAAAGTAACGAATGCTCACAGTCCTCCGTTCGCCTAACCCGCTTCCGGGTTTAGCTGGTGGGCAACATCGACTCCTGACGACTGACCTGACCCCTCACCAGAGCAGATCAGAGTCTTCCCACAGCCCAGAGTCCGTCCTCCAGACCTCTTTTGCCCGAGTCCCCGACCACCACAGCAGCAGCACTTGCGCCCCTCACGTCAAACCAACCAAAACCACAACCATGCATCATCGCAGTCCATTCTGGCTGGGAGCTACAGAGCTACAGTGCAGCGACAGCAATTTTTTTCTTCAGCACCGCCCAGTGCGTCCACCCATGCATTCCAATTTGCGTTTCATCAGTTCGTCCCTCCCAGTCGTCTTGTCTCCCTCCCATCCCATTCCCCCCCACCCCAACTCCAACCCTAGCCTCTTTCTTGCCTGAGAGAGGTTGTCGAACGCGTTTCCTTGCTTAATGCTCACGAAAAGTCATCCACGAATCACCCTCTCTGGGCTCAGTGTTCTTCTGTCTGGGGATTCCCCCCATCTCACCCTACACCTTCCACACCCACCTTCCACATTCACGCCCTCCTTATTCATACCACTCTTTCCGACTCTTCCAGTGTGTGCTCGTAGTATCCTGAGCCTCCCTATCACGAAATAATCCTCCGTTACACATTTTGAATCCACGTCGCCGCTTTCACCTGCTCCTTCTCCGCGCTAGCGAGCGAGCGAGCGAACAAGCAATGACGCGACTTCGGCGGCAGCAGCTTCTGCTGCTGCCACTGGTACTCTGCGTCGCTGCGCTTCTCGCCAGCATCCACGTGCCAGTGGCCGATGCCGGCGCTCTTAACCCTGGTTCGTAGCCGCCCTTCAATGCTCTCTCCGCTCACCGCGCTTCGCACCCTTCCTCCGCTACTCGCTTCTCCCGTCTCCCGTCTCCCTGCTCCGTCCCCGCTGCCGTAGAAGTTATCTTGGCCGCGGATCAGCCTCGAACCTCCTCGTCCTTCAAAGCTCTCGTTCCCCTCCCGCGTCCCTCCACTCCCGGTCTTCCGTTCCCTTCAACCCTGTTCTTATCGCTCATCTCCAGTCGTCTCAAGTTGACCTTTGAGTCGACTCAGAAGTCATTACTCATGACTTCCACCCCGACTTAATCGGCCTTCTCCACTCGTCTCAAGATGCCCTTCTCCCTTTCTTCTTTTTCGCCTTCCTCCCCCCCTTCGCCCTCTGTCATCGCTCACGCGCTCCCGACTGATATGTTTTAGTCCGTCCATAGCCTCTTCTCCTCCCGCGCCCCGCCGCGCTTCGCCTCGCCTAGCGAAGTACCTAACGGGCACAGCGTCTTTTCCGGCTGCATGCCGCGAGATTCTCTGCCCTGTCTCAGAACTCTTAAGCTTCGTAACTTGCTTGCATGCCGTGAGCCGCCCCCTCGTCTTCCACTGCGCCCCGTGCGACGGGAGGTCGCCGCTAATTTTCGGCGAATCTTGCCCGCGTTTCTCGGCGTGTTTCCCGTGCGTCGCTATGGTTTCGCGACCGAGCAGCAGTCCTCGCTTTCTTTTGCTGTCAACTCGGGCTTGGTCTGTTTCTCTTCTTGCTCGCCCCCTCCTCCTCCCTCTTCTCCCCTTCCACCTCATCCCCGCCTCCCAAACCTTTCTCCTCTTCCAACACCTCCCCCGACCGCTTCCCCCCTCGAACCCCTCCCACCCTCCCTTTTTCCCTTCTCCCACCCCAACCCCGTTCCCCCTGCCGTCCCCGCCATCCGTCCCCCTTCCCCTCTTCAACGCCAGGCGGAGTCATCAAGGTTCCGACGCGCGGCCCGTGCTCCGCGTCGCCCGTGCCGCTGACCGTCTCGACCGCCGCGGATTTCGCGCAGCGGCTGCAGTACACGCCGAACACGACGGTCGTCATGTACCTAACGGGCAACATCACGACCTCCACCGTGGTTTGGTTCAACGCGTCGTATTCCTGCACCATCATCCGCCCGCAACCGGGACTCACGTCCATGCCCTGGATCTGGCTTGATAACTTCAACTCGCCCGCGGTGCGGGTGGAGAGCGCGACGAACATGCAGTTTGTCGGGATCGGGATTGGATTCCCGTGGAAGAACACCGGCATGGTGGCGTGCGGCGGGCTGCCCGAGTTCCCGTCGCGCTGGACGTGCCCCGTGCTACACATCTACCGCGGATGGGCGGTCACTTTCTCCAATGTGAGCGGCGCGCGGAAGGGAAGGGGAATGGGGAGGGGGAAGTGGGGCAATGGGGGGAGTGGGGGAGGGGGCAGCGGGGAAAGGGGTAGGATAAGCGGGAGGGTTGATGGGGAGGGATGGGGAAATGGTGCGCGCATGCTAGTACGATGTACCCGCGCAACCCCGCGTCTGTTTGCGGGTTCGTTTTGTTTCCCCCGCGGTTGCTTGTTTGTTCCCTTTGCGCGTGTATGCCTGCGCGCCACGCAAGCTGTTGCTGCCGCGTTTCTGACGACTTTTCCGCGCGGGCATTCTCTCCCGCCGGCGCCCTTGCAAGGATGCAGCCCGCACCAGAGCCACCCGGCACTTCCGCCTTGCTCCCCGTCGCTTCCCCGTCGTCTCCTGCCGTTTCTCCGTCGCTTCTCCGTTGCTTTCCGCCTCTTCCCCGTCGCTCCCCCATCTCCCCCGCTTTATCCTCCTCCCCGTCCCTTCTCACCCCTTCCGCTTCCGCCGCTTAATCTCCATCCCTCGCTTTCCCCTCCTCCCCCTCCTCCAACCCCCTCCCCTCCCCCCGCCTTCCTCCCCCTCCCCCCACTTCCCCGCCTCTCCCCGCACATTCCGCGCATTCCGCACATCCGCAGGGGCAAGTGCAGGGGCGCACGGACGTGTATCGGTCGGGCGCGGTGGAGTTTTCGTACCAGAAGCACGTGGTGGATTATCTGGACGGCACGCTCTTCAGCTACTCGTGCATCCGCTTCGCCGTCAACGGCGACCCCGTCAACCTCATCCGCTCGCTCAACAAGGTCGTCAACAGCGAGATCCGCGGTGCGCTTCCTTCCCTCCCTGCCTGCTTGCCCGCGTGCCTACTTGCTTGCCTGCTTCCGTGCGTCAATCTTTCTGTACGCACGCACCCTCAACGCCGTCATCTCCGTTTCCCCCTTATTTCCCCCCGCCTTCCCCATGATTCCCCCGTATTTCTCGTTCTCCCTCTTCCTCCCGCGTTTTTTCATCCCTCCTCCTGGTCGTCCGCGGCGCGTGAACGTCGATCACATCACATACCCGGCGAGCGCATAGCCCTCATCACCTCTCTCCCACGTTTCCCCTACGCTTTCCCGGTCCACCCCGCTGCTCCCCGCGCAGGCGCGTGGACGTCGATCATGATGTACGCGGGGACCGTGGGCACCATCATCGCGAACAACTACATCACGGACTTTCAGTTCTGCGGCGTGCAGTGCGGCATGGGCGACAGCAACGTCGCGGATTGCATGCTCAACACCATCCAGGATAACTACATCATCCCCGGCCCCGCTTACCCCACCAACAACGGCGACGGCGCCGGGATCTATTACGATCTGCATTGGTACAACCCTGGTGAGTCCGCGGAGCGCGTGGCTGCTCCCTCCGTCCCCCTTCCCCTTACCCCCCCTCAGCCCTCCCCACCCCCGCCCAACACCCCTTCCCCTTCGCCCCATTGTTTTCTTTCCCCATTCACCATCCCGAGCTCCCCGCTCGACCTTACCGCGCCTATCCCTCATCTCCGTCCCGCTCTCTCTTTCCCCCACTTTCCCGTCGCCGTCCCGTCCCCGTCTCCATCCGTGGCGCAGGCAATCTGGACACGTGCAACTACATCGTGGGCACGACGCACTGTCACTACCTGGACTTCACGACCTCGGGCCTCACTATTGACGGCGCTGTGTGCATTCGCAACCATGATGGCATCAAGGTCAACACCGGCCACGCGTGAGTGCTCTTTTCCCTCCACCCTCTCTCTCTCTCTCTCTCTCTCTCTCTCTCTCTCTCTCTCTCTCTCTCTCAAATGCCTTGCCTCCTCCCCTCCCCTCCTCTCCCCACACTCCCTCCCACATCCCTCCACGTTCACCTCTTGCGCGTTGCTCTGCGTCTTGGCCCATAGGCTTCCGGCCTCCTCTACGCCCCTTATCCTGCACTCGCCTCACCCAACTCACCAACAACCCACTCAACCTACCCAATGTGCTGGTGGTCCCCTTCTCCCTGCTTTCCCCTGTTGCCTTACCCTTCCCCTTCGTGCCCTCTCCCTCTCTGCCCTCTCCTCGCGGCCCTCGTCCCTCGTGCGAGCAGCAACAAGGTGCAGAGCTACCTGGTGGTGAATCCGCAGTGGCAGTCGGGCATCATGAGCTGTCAGAACTGGTGCGACAACAACTGCAACTCGTGGGCCGGCCGCGGTCTTGGTTACAAGTGGTACAGCGCCTATGTTGCTCGCTTTGACACTCCCGGCTGGCGCAAGGTGTGTCTGTGTGTGTGTGTGCGTGTGTGCGTGTGTGTGTGTGGGGGGGGGGGGGGGTTGGTGGTGGTTATGGGGCCATATGGGAGAGTGTCTTTGGGTTGGTTATGGGGGTGAGAATGTGACACCGGATCTTTGAGCGAGCACTGTCGGTATTGGCTCCGTATTTCTGCTTGACTTGCTCGACTTTGTCTTTGGTAGTTTGTGGTAGGTAACTGGTCGTGTTCCTTCTCTACTCTCCGACCTTCCCTTCCTCCCAACTCCTCAATATTCTCCCCGCTTACCTGCACCTCCCCTTCCTTTCCCCCCCCCCCCCACTAACTTTTTATTTTTACTTCTCCCTTCACTAGGTTTTTTGTGTGCGACTCACTCTTCTCCCCGTTTTATTTCTATTGCCCCCTCCGTTCCCCGACCCTCTGCCCCCCTCTCCTCCCCTCCCCTCATCAGAACTGGCCCTTCCTTTCGGGCCTCTGCAACCGCACAGAGTGGATGGGACAGCCGTGCAACCCTGACCCCCCGATCGAGCTTCCCAAGAACTGGACGGGCTACTGCTCGCAGTTCCTCTCCTATTCCACCGTGGGCAAGCAGCGCTCCGCGGATTACAATTACACGGGCAAGTGCAGCGGCGTGCCTGGGCTGAACCACATCGAGCTGACTGTCATCAATGGCACCAACGGCCGCTGGAACCCGTATTATATTAACTGCGATGCTCTCCCGTCTGTCGTGCCCACCAACAACATCACCTCGGTGTCGTTTAACTACCCGCCGACCTACTTCAAGTTTGATAATTTCACCGGGGATGATTTTGGCGTGTCGAATCTCTCCGATATGATATATCAGAAGTATCCGAATTTCATGTCGTGTAGCCGTCGCAGGGTCGGGCCTCAGAAACAGGTGCGCGCTATGGCTGCTGCTCTCTCCACGGCAGAATCCAACTTCGGCAAGGATGTCGGCGATTGGTGGAAGAACACTTTTGATATTATCCCCGAAGATTCGGAACTGTCTCAGATTCTCTACCACAAGAAGTTCAATGGAAAAATCCGAGACCTCAACGCGCCCCTTCCCGCCGCTACCTCCACCGGACCTCCCAAGAAGAAGCCCGGAACCGGAAAGAAGCCAGGCAGGAAGGGACCGAGGGTGTCTAACTGGTGGAGCGGAAACTAGGGAATCTCGACAGCAAAGATTACGGCCGGGAGGTAATTGTTTTACACTGATTTGAAAGGGCTGGGCCAATTGCGCAGTGTACAGCTCAGCTGTTGGGATGGGCGGTGTACTAGGGATTTGCTTTGGGGAGGGTCTGCTTGGGTTAGCGCGGTGCGGTACGGTGGGTTTTGGTGGTGCAGATTTGGTGTGTGTGCCTTGGCTTTCTGCATTTGCGCCTTGGCTTTCTGCACTTGTTCCTTCATTCTTGCTTTCTATGTGTCCGTTGATGGGTGATGCTGTGGTGAGTGGGTTTGCATGAAGTGCTCTTTGGAAACTGAGTTGCTATGACTGTACAATAATAGCTTGCTTGATTGCCGAGAATGGTGATGGCTAGAGTAGCACATGTTTGCCATCCCTGTTGGTGGCAATTACAGGTGCTGCTCATTTCTTGGGGTTAAGATTGAGATGGCAGTACCATACCGTTATAGATTCCAGGTGGTGCACACAAGTTTCCATAATCTGAATGACATGCTTCACAGATGTCTTGAATGTATACAGCATCTACAAATCCAACTCAGTCATGCGTTGATTACCACAACTTACAATATGTAGATGCACTACCATAAACCACTTTCAACAGCTCCAAACCACATTGCATCCAAGAGTCAACTAGCTTGCTATATCAGCAGTTAACCCCCTCCTCCCCCTTCCCCCCAGCATCCACCGTCCAGACTACTAGACCAGACAGGCTTGAATCCGACCAAATTTTGCCACATCTGTATAGTCCATGCTTGTTCACATGCTCTCTCATCCTCATTCACCATACTAACCACATTAGTATCCTTCACCCAGCCGCCTCTCAGCTGCCGCTACCCTCCACAGAACCAGCCACCCCACTCGCCCCACCTTCACCTCCTGATGTCTCTCTCTCGATTGCGTCTCCCCGAGACGCCTCTTCCCCTGCCCCTGCCCCTGCCCCTGCTACTAGTGCTTCTTCCCCTTGCTCTGCATCTTCAATGCCTGAGCTAGCAGCAGCAGCAGCAGCAGCAGCAGCAGCAGGAGCACTAGCACCATCAGTACCAGCAAAAGCATCATCTGAGGAAGCACCAGGTGCAGGTGCAGGAGCAGCAGCAGCAGCTGAGGTCCTGCTATCAGTGCTGATGCTGGTGGTGCTGGGTGCCGTTTCAGCACTAGCAGGAGCAGCAGCAGGAGCACCGGCACCCGTGGTGGTGGGATGAGCAGGGTTGGAGGGGAAGGAGAGAGGGAGGGACATCCCTGCTCCGTGCACCACTCTACTAAGCGCATAGTGCCTGGAGGGACAGGCGGGCAGAGGTAGAGAAATGGGGAGAGGTGGGGAGAGGTGGGACGAGGTGAGGGAGGTGGGTAAGTTGGGCAGAGGTGGTGGGAGGTGGCTGGGAGGTGCGGAAAGGCGTTGAGATGGTGCGTTGGGCGGAGAGAGATGGTGGAAAGTGGAGCGTTGAGCGGCATTGGGTTGACAAGAGAATGGCAGTGTGGTGGTTCTTGCGACTATGACGATGCCGAGTGATGTGATGAGGGGGATATAGGCGGACAGAAATGGGAGGATGATGGTATGGTAGGCAGGTGAGGAGGGAGGCGAGGAGGGACGGGAGGCGGGACGGGAGGAGGGAGACGAGGAGGGATGGGAGGCGGGACGGGAGGAGGGAGGCGAGGAGGGATGGGAGGAGGGAGGGTACGAGGGACGAGAGGAGAGAAGGGACGAGGGAGGGGGGGAGGGACAGGAGGGGGGGACAGGAGGAGAGATGGGAGGAGCAACGTGAAGGGAGTGACAGGAGGAGAGATGGGAGGAGCAACGCGAAGGGAGTGACAGGAGGAGAGATGGGAGGAGCAACGTGAAGGGAGTGACAGGAGGAGAGATGGGAGGAGCAACGTGAAGGGAGTGACAGGAGGAGAGACATGAGCAATCGAGAAGTCCGGTGCAGAGGCGTAAAGGACGACACCACGTGAGACAACAAGTGGGATGGAAGATGGCCAGGAGGAGGAACGAAGGGATCGACAGGAGGGCTGTACCTGAGTGCGAGGTCCTTGTACTCTCCGAGGAGGTCAGAGACATCAGCCAGCACGAGGGGTGTAGCACAAGGCAAGACGTGGGACGACAAGTGGGACGGAAGGCGCGCGGCAGGAGGAGCGTACCTGAGTGCTAGATCCTTGTACTCTGCGAGCAGGTCTGAAACGTCAGCGATGGAGAGGTCAGCAGCCGAGGCGTAGAGGAAGCGGAAGGAGCGGGCGAGCTCGCCACTGGCGTCTGCTCTCACCAGCTCCCTCAACACGCCCTTGTCCCTTGATATCTCCGATACCGCCACCACCCGCTCTGTCTCCCTCTCCCTCTGCGGATTGCTGCTGCTGCTGCTGCTGCTGCTGCTGCTGGTACCAGCAGCACCGCTGGCGGGAGTGGCAGCGGCGGCAGCAGTGCTGTCAGGTGCTGCTACTGCTGCCTCTGCTCCTCCTGCTACTCTTCCCTCCTTTCCCCCGCTTCCAATCTCGCCTCCCGAACCCCCTCCTCCTCCCTCTCCTCCACTCCCCTTCCCTCCCCCTTCTCCCCCCTCTCCCCCCTCTCCCCCTTCCCCTCCTTCTCCCCCCACTTCCCCCCCACCAGTCGCCTTGTACCCAGCCTCCAACAACCGCTGGAACTCCTGGTCGGTGAGAGAGAGCTGGGCGGCAGAGAGGGATTCGAGGAAGGTGGCGGCAGAGGCAAGGTTGGTGAAGAAGTAAGCGGCCTCAGAGACGAGCCGGTCGCTGTGGCGGTACCGCTGAATGTAGAGAATGCTGCTCAGCAGCTGCGGGGGGTTCGCCTGTTGGGGGGAATGGGGGAATGGGGGAGTTGGGGGAAAGGGGAGGAAGAGGGGGGTGTTGGAAGAAGAGAGGAGAAGAGTGCGAAAAGACAGGGGGGAGGGAGGGCGGGGACGAGTGAGAGGCAGGAGGGAAGGGAAGAGATGGGAGGTAGGAGCACAGAGAAGATGAGGGAGAGTGAAAAAAGATGTCGTGTGCCACTGTAACGAGGTGACTTTTGAGTTGACTGAGAGGTAGGAGCACAGAGAAGATGAGGGAGAGTGAAAAAGAAGGGCGAGGGGGAGCAAGGATATGTGTGAGGGACCTTGCTTCTCCCAAGGGAGAAGCCTGGCTGTTGTGGCGCACAACTGGTATGTCAGAGAAGGTACACTGTTTGCAGAGAGCAAGTGTGGGTGAGACGCAGCAAAGAGACGCCCCGAAGCTTCCCCCCCACTTTCATCCCCCCCCCCACTTTCATCCCCCCCCACTTTCATCCCCCCCCCCCACTTTCATCCCCCCCCCCACTTTCATCCCCCCCCACTTTCATCCCCCCCCACTTTCATCCCCCCCCCCCACTTTCATCCCCCCCCCCACTTTCATCCCCCCCCCCACTTTCATCCCCCCCCCAACTTTCATCCCCCCCCCACTTTCATCCCCCCCCCACTTTCATCCCCCCCCCCACATTCATCCCCCCCCCACTTTCATCCCCCCCCCCACTTTCATCCCCCCCCCCCCACTTTCATCCCCCCCCCCCACTTTCATCCCCCCCCCCCCACTTTCATCCCCCCCCCCACTTTCATCCCCCCCCCCACTTTCATCCCCCCCCCCCACTTTCATCCCCCCCCCCACTTTCATCCCCCCCCCCACTTTCATCCCCCCCCCCACTTTCATCCCCCCCCACTTTCATCCCCCCCCCCCACTTTCATCCCCCCCCCCACTTTCATCCCCCCCCACTTTCATCCCCCCCCCACTTTCATCCCCCCCCCACTTTCATCCCCCCCCACTTTCATCCCCCCCCCACTTTCATCCCCCCCCACTTTCATCCCCCCCCCACTTTCATCCCCCCCCCACTTTCATCCCCCCCCCACTTTCATCCCCCCCCACTTTCATCCCCCCCACTTTCATCGCCCCCCACTTTCATCCCCCCCCACGTTCATCCCCCTCACCTTCCATCCCCCTCACCTTCCATCCGCCCCCCCACCTTTCATCCCCCCACCCCTTCATCCCCCCCCTCACCTTCACCACCACGTAGATGAGCACGGGCAGGAAGTCATCTGCTCCTGGCGGCTTCCCACCTGCCTTTCCGCCCGCCTCCCCTGCGCCCGTGCCCACGCCTGTGGCAGCGGCAGCAGCGGCGGCGGCGGTGATGGAGGCGTTGAGGAGGATGTTGTTGATGACGCGGCAGCAGTTGAGCACACACACCAGCTTGTCTCTTGGCGCTTTGAACGAACCAAGTTTCTGTAGGTCCTTCTCCGCTAGCTGGGAGGGGGAGGGCGGGGGGGTGGAGAGTGGGAGGGGGGAAAGGGGGATAGGGGGAGCGGGGGGTAGGAGGGGTTACGGGGGGGAGAAAGGATGAGAGATGTGCACAGGAGGGTCAGCCCCAGCGGCAGCGGCAGCAGCAGCAGCAGCGGCAGCAGCGGCAGCAGCGGTGATGGAGGCGTTGAGGAGGATGTTGTTGATGATGCGGCAGCAGTTGAGCACACACACCAGCTTGTCCCGTGGTGCCTTGAACGACCCCAGCTTCTGCAGGTCCTTCTCCGGTAGCTGGTGGAATGGGGAGGGGAGGTGGGGGTGCGGGTGGGGTGGAGGAAGAGGGCAAGGTGGAAGAAGTCGGTATGGGAGGATGAGAAACAGGGGCAGTTGAGCACAGGGCAACGCACACCCCCGCTTGTCCCTAAGGTGACCTTTGAGTCGACTCAAAAGCCACCTCAAAACAGGCAGATGAGCACGCACACCTGAGTGCCCCTCAAGGTGTTGAACGACCCCAGCTTCCCAAGGTCCTTCTCTGCTAGCTGGTGAAAGGGGAGACGGAATGGGTTGTTGGGTTGGGTTGGGGAAGAGGTGGGGCAGGGGGAGCGGGGGAAGCACGATCACAGGGTGCAAGGGAGATAAGGACGATGTTGACATGAGCCAGGGGGAATGAGAAGGGGAAGGTTGCTCGTTGTGTGCTCACATCTCGTCGGCACCAATCCCTCCCTCTCTACCCACCAACGCACTGCCCCCTGCTCCCTGCTCCCTGCCCACTGCCCCAGTCATGCATGCCAAACACAGGAAGAGATAGACAGAGCACGTGCGCACCAGCAGCGAGGGATAGAGAGGGATGGTACACACATACACAGACACACACACACAGACACACAGGCACACACACGCGCGCGCGCGCTTACCAGCAGCGAGGCATCGTTGAGCAGCGAGTCGGGCACGTCGAGGTGGCGCGGCTGCAGGAACGTCTGCAGCGCCGCTATGCGCGTGGTCAGGCGCCGGTCCCTCTCCACCTCCTCCTCCTCGGGGGCGAACGCACGGGGGAACAGCTTCGTCATTAGATACTTCTCTAGGGCCTGGAGGGGGGAAGGGGGCGGGGGCGAGGGGGGAGGGGGGGAAGAAGGGGAGGGGTGGGGTGCGCTGATTAAGGGGGGAAGAGGCAGCAGCCGGTCCCTCTCCACCTCCTCCTCCTCCTCGGGTGCAAATGCGCGCGGGAACAGCTTCGTCATTAGGTACTTCTCCAGTGCCTGTTGATGGATGGGGAGGGGGGGTACGAGAGTGAGGAAAGACGGGGAGGGGGGAGGGAGGTGATTAGTGGGGAGAGTGGCACCAGGCGGACCCAGTCCCTCTCCACCTCCTCCTCCTCAGGGGCAAACACGCGCGCGGGAAGAGCTTTGCCATCAGATACTTACATTGGGCCTGGGGAGGAGGGGTTGGGTGGAGTGGAGTGGAGTGGAGTGGGGTGGGGTGGGACGAGTGGGGAGAGAGGGGAAGAGGAGGAGGTGGGGGCTGACTAGCGGTGACGGGGCACCTGCAGCAGCTTCGTCATCCGGTGCTTCTCTTCTCTAGGGCCTGGGGAGGGGGGGAAGAAGGTGGAACGAGGGGAAGGAGGGAGAGGGGTTGAATAAAGGTGAAGGGGCACCAGCAAGAACACTTGGCCCTCAGGACGACATCTCACAGGCCTGGGAGCCTGGAGCGGAGATTTGTTCTTTCTTCAGCCTGGGAAGGGATTTGCTTTTTCTCCACCTCCTCCTCCTCATCCCCGGAGGTAAGCAGGGCTGGTTCGTTTTTCAGAGGGACAGGGGAGAAGCAGGAAAGGAACCACCCCTACCCCCACCCCACCCACCCAAACCCACACAACACCCACTTGGACCCGCACACACGTACAAACACACACATGCACGAGCATTGTCACCACTCCACCCACCTCCTCCGCCCACCACTCCGCCCACCACACCGCCTCACTTGCTTTCCCCCTCGTTCCCCTCGTGCGCCCATTCAAGCGCCTCCCCATGCGCCCCTTCGTCCCTGCTCTCTAACCCACACCACCTCCAACCTCTCCCTTCTCCTCCTACCCTTCCCCTTCCCCCTGCCCCTCTTCATCCCTTCCCCCTGCCCCTCTTCATCCCTTCCCCCTGGCCCTCTTCATCCCTTCCCCCTGGCCCTCTTCATCCCTTCCCCCTGCCCCTCTTCATCCCTTCCCTTTTTCCCCTTTCCCTTCCTGCTTCGACCGCTCCCCCTTTCCTCCTTCCTCACTCACCCCTCCCCGTCAACCCTCTGCCTCCCTCTCCCCCCTCCTCCAGCTTTTCCGCTCTCCCCCCCACTCCCAGCGCACCTCCCCCGAGCACTCGAGTTCGTCGGGCGAGGCGGCCTGCCAGAGCGGGTGCGCGCGGAAGGCGGCCTCGATGCTGCGGTAGAACGCCTGCACGCTCGCACTGTCTCGCTCCGGCTCGGGCTCCTTGCTCATAAACGCCATCATGAAACTGAGGGGGGAGGGGGGGTGGGTGGGGGAAGGGGGGGGGGCGATGGTTGAGGAGGGGCGGAGGGAGCGAAGGAGGGGCGGGGGAAGACTGTTGAGTCGACTCAGCTGCCGCGCTCCGGCTCCGTCTCCTTGCTCATGAACCCCATCATGAAACTGAGAGCGGGGGGGGGGGGCGGGAAGGCGGAAGGGAAGGAAGGATGGAGAGGTGAGGGAGAGTTCTGAGCTGACTCGCGTGCTGGCTCCGCCTCCTTGCTCATGCACGCCATCATGACACTGGGGAGGGGGGCGGGGCGGGAAGGAAAGGGGTTGGATGGGGGGAGGGGGAAGTGGAGGGGTGCGGGGCAACTAGTCGACCCAGAAGGGGGCTCAAGCTCCAGTAGAGCCATGATGAAACTGGGGGAAAAGGTGAAGGTGGGAGGGGGGAGGGGGGAGGGGGGAGGGGGGAGGGGGGAGGGGGGAGGGGGAAGGGCGGAGGGGGGCGGGGGGAAGGAGAACGGGGGGGAGTGGAGGGGTGCAGTGAGACTATTAAGTCGACTCCGGCTCCTTGCTCATGAACGCCATGATGAAACTCAAGAGGGCGGGCAGTGAGCGGGGGGTGGGAGACTTGTGAGTCGACTCAGAAGCTGGCATTGGCTCCTTGCTCAGAAATGCTATCATAAGAGTGCGGGCGGTCAGAGGAGGAGGAGAGAAGTTGGGGGAAACGAGGGAAATGAGATGGGGATGGGGAACGGAAAGGGGTTGGGAAGGGACGATGAGGCGAGGTGGCATAAGAGAGGAATCTCCAATGTTCGCACTGCAGCAATCCGGCTCTGCCTCACTGACTGACTGACTGACTGACTGACTGACTGACTGACTGACTGACTGACTGACTGACTGACTGACTGACTGACTGACTGACTGACTGACTGACTGACTGACTGACTGACTGACTGACTGACTGACTGACTGACTGACTGCCTGACTGACTGACTGACTGACTGACTGCCTGACTGACGGAACCCTTTCCCGCCTGCCTCACTTGCGAATGGGTCTGACGAGATCTGCCGCGGCGGGCTGCTTCATCCGTTCCAGAAAGTCGTGGAAAGTCAACGCAGTCGTCGCCGCGGTGAGACTGTCGCCTTCTCCCCGCCCTGCCGACGCGCCCGATCCCACCACCATGCCATCGCTGGCCATCACACCCGACGAAGCTTATTCCCAAAACACTTAGTTAAACTACGCGAGAGCAGTCAGGCGACTGAGAAAGTGTATGTCATAGCGAAGGAAGAGAACCAGAGTGTACGATGTGCGGGCTTGCGGACAGCAAATTACGGCAAATGCTCTTGAAAACGAAGGTGATTTCGTGTGCCAGGATCGTTTTGAGACATCCATGGTTTGGAACTCTTCGGCAGAAATGTGTCGATTGGGAAAGGGAAACTATATTCCAGGTCCATACTTTCAGATTTCTCTCAAATTTAGCTCTAGGTTCACTCAAAAAGTACCACTTTCTAGAATTTTGCCCACGCGAGCCCAAAGTATGTTCAAAACTGGTCCTGCGAGGCGAATTTCTCGACACGTGTCCAATTTCTCTTTGAAAATTTTCGACGGGGCAAAAAAACCCCTTGGGAACTAGGGATATTTGCGGGAGGGATCAACCCTGAACACCAAGCGGGTCCCCGTGTTTAGGGTTGATCCCTCCCGAACGTGTGTCCTGGTTCCCCTAGGGGTTTTATGTTTTTTGCCCCGTCAGAAATTGCAAATACGAAAGAGGACACGTGTCGAAAAGTTTGCCCCGCAGGACAAGTTTTGAACATAGTCTGGGCCTCGCGTGAGCAGAATTCTAGAAAGCTGTATTTTTTTAGTAAACTTGGGCCTAAATTTGAGATATTTTTGAAACTATGGAGTTGGGATATACTCTCCCATTGGGAAACACTCAACATGGTTTTTTGGAAACCCGCGTTGACAACCCTACTCCCGTTAGGCGCAAGCCTTCTCCTGAATGTGGAAAAAGTTCGCTCGTAACTGTGGCCGACGATGGCGAAACGTTACGGAAGATGCGACCGAGGGGTGTTTAGGCAAAATTCGAACCGGAACACGAAGGATTGTTGGGCTTGGAAATGAACCAGAGTCTCACTGATTTAGATTCTAGGCCCCTTCGGTGAGCTCATGCGCCACGCGTCGTGATTGGTCTGCAAGAAATTGTGACTCCATTGATGGCTTCGTTTGTATCATGCCTATGACACCCCGCTTACCATGCAGCCGAGTTCCCGAGGCCGACACGAGCTTCACACAGAGTTCCATCGCCAGCAGCACTGAAAGTCCTCGCCGTCAATCGCATTGCTGCTGGCGACTACTTCGGCCAAAACTTGCGACCTTTCATATTTCCCCAACCGCAGCTCCCGCGCTTTTCATTTCCGCCCAGCATACTGCTCTGGCCCTCGATATGTTCGCGCAGTCCCTGCCTCCAGCCGTCCGCGCCCACCCGCTCTTGCGCGCCGTCATGTCATGCTATGCCAAGCAGCCCAGCTTCCGCCATCTGTGACTCCGGGCGATTCCTTGCAGCTCACGTCACATCACATGAGTCATGTCATCATGTCATGGCCCGCTTGTCCCCCAAAAGCCTTCCGCCTTCCCCCCATGCCGTTTCGTTCCTACCTCCCAGCCATTTCCACCGAGTCTTCCGAGTTTCTCCCTTCTAGTGGGAGGGATTCTTTTCCACCGAACCCAAACCAACCTAACAGATTCATAATCTCGAATCAAGATAATTTCTGTCAGTTTTCTTGCTTCTGCTCTTCAAAACGCCATTTCTGCTGTTTGTGCTGCTGCTGCTCCTGCTACTGTTCTCTCCTACCACACCACACCCTGCTTTCCTTCACCTTGGTCTCTGCCTCCGTGTACACGTTTGGCGCAACGAACAGCCTCTTTTGCGAATTTCTTGTTCGACCTTTACTGGTGTCCTGGACTATTTGTCCTTAGCTTTCAAGTTTCCTAGGTCGCCCTCCGTGCAGTCCTAGTCGTAGTCCTAATCCATAGTCATGCAGTCGGATTGGCGTTCCCCGCCGCTTGCGGTGTCGTACCCCGAAGTCCCTCCCATGCCGCCATCCACTCAGTACACTCCTTCCTACACGCCGAATTACTCGTCGTATCCGCAACCGCCTGCGCAAACCGCGGATAACAACGCGCCCATGTACATGCAACAACCGCAACCGCCCGCCGCTTACTCCCAACAAAACTCCGCGTATCCGCAGTTTTCCGCGCCGCCAGCGCCTCCCCCGCAATTCCCGCAAAGCCACGTGGACGACTACGAGACCAGCGTCGACGTGGTAGCGTACGATGCGGGCGGCGCGGAGCCGTACGGCGCGAGAGGAACCGGCAGTGGAGCGTACTGGGGCGACACACCGCAGGGCTTCGGAGGCGGAGGCGGCAGCGGACACATCGGGAACAGCGCGGGAGGGAGCGGGCCAATTAGCAGTCCCCTCGTTGATATTCAGATGCCGTCGCTTTCTGCCGGTTCGCGGGGAGGCGGTGAGGCGCAGGTGGTGGTGGGGAAGGACGGCGTGCAGAGCTTCGCAGTGACTCTCCTGCCGGAACCGGGGTCTTCCTCGTCGCCCTCGCAGGTGGTCTGTAAGGTAAGGCAACTTTGTGAGTCGACCAATTTCGCTGCGTCCAGAGCCGGAATCGTCCTCGTCGCCGCCGCAGGTGGTCTGTAAGGTACGGCAACTGACCGCACTTGCAGAGATGTGCGCTGGGACGGAGCCGACCCCCTCGTCGCTTGATCTTGCTGAACCGATGGCGTCGATGATGGTTCCTCCTTTTTCGCTGGAGGCCCATGTAAGCTGACTCTGGATTTGAGTCATTCTTGAGAATTCTCCGCTTCTACTTATGGTCTGTCTGTGGGGCTGGCGCTGACTTCGTCGCATCGTTACCGAGTGTCTGGTGGTCCCTTGCGCCGTCGCTGTCGCGTCTACGTGGACACGTGTCTTTACGTTTCCCCTGAGGTCGCCCGCGCTTTCCGGTCCGTCCGTCGCTCGTGCGTTTCCCCGTTCTTCTTCTTTTCGCTTTCCTTTTTTTCATTTTCTCCTTCTCCGTTGAGACATGAAGCCCGTCTCTCACCCCCGCCTCCCCCTCTCTCATCCGCCGCTTCCTTTCATCTCCACCTCCCCCTATCGCATCCGCGCTTATCCTCCCTTACCCCCCCCCCCCCCCCCCCCCCACACCACCACCACCCCGCGCAGATCGGGTTGGATGGCATGCGGCTGCAGGAGCCGGGCAGCGGGCGCCTCATGCGTATCTACCCGCTCGAGAACATCACCAGCTGGGAGGTACGCCGCCGCCACCGCTATTTCCCACTCACGCGCGTCGCATGCGCCTGCACGCTCGCTCCGGGTGTTTGCTCGCGTGGTAGCGTGCGCGTCATGCGTTTCGCTGCCTCTCTTCCCCGTGGCCGGACTCTTCCTCCTCCGCTTTTCTGCCTTCGCCGCGCACTCCTTTCCCGACTCCTCTCTCCCCTCCCTCCCCCTCCCGCCCCCCTCCTTCCCCGTTTGCGCTCTCCTCTGGACCCCGGTGTTCGAGTGCTCTCTTTCACAGCAGGGGTAGAGTGAGTGCTGTTAACCTCTCCCCTCCCCCTTTCCCCCACAAACCATTCTCCTCCCTGCGACCCGCACCCCTTCCAATCTCCCCCTTTTGCCAGGTGAAGGAGCCGGGCGTGTTCACGTTCTGGGTGCGCACGGCGGTGGACGTGAGTCAGCGCCCCGTGCGCCTGCGCTCCAACGACCGCACCACGTCGCTGCTGCTCGACACGCTCACCGCCGCCTGCATCCAGGTGCGCTCCCCCGCCCTCGCGCTCGTGCTCGTTTTATGTGCGTGGGGGGCGGGCCGCGGGAGGAGAGACAGGGTGGGGCTGGGGTGGGGGTTGGGGTGGGGGTGGGGATGGGAGTGGGCGTGGGGATGGGAGTGGGCGTGGGGATGGGAGTGGGCGTGGGGATGGGAGTGGGCGTGGGGATGGGAGTGGGCGTGGGGATGGGAGTGGGCGTGGGGATGGGAGTGGGCGTGGGGATGGGAGTGGGCGTGGGGATGGGAGTGGGCGTGGGGATGGGAGTGGGCGTGGGGATGGGAGTGGGCGTGGGGATGGGAGTGGGCGTGGGGATGGGAGTGGGCGTGGGGATGGGAGTGGGCGTGGGGGCTAGGGGAGCTTTGGCATGCTCTTTGTCGCTCTGAAACTGATGTGCTACTCTCGGCAAGGATGACATGACGGCGCTGCTGCCATGCTCATGCTCATGCTCATGCTCATGCTCATGCTCACTGCTGCCTGTCACCGTCCTTTGATGCGCCTCAAATCTCTAGAGCTGTGCCAGATCCCATGTAAATCCCAAAGGAGATTCCTTATTCTATTCCACACCAGATTCTCCACTCTGCCGCTCACAACTTCGCCGATTCCCCGGCGTTTCCTCCCCCCTCCCCTTCCGCCCTCGCACCCTTCCCCTCTCTCCCCCTCTCTCTCCGCCCCGGTTTCGGCCTCTTCATTCCCCTCCTCCCCTTCCCCCCCCCCACCAGGTGTTTGAGATGGTGGGGCGGGACAAGCCAGCACCAGACAAGCCCGCCTCTGCATCAAAGCCCTCCTCCGCGCCCTCCGCCGCCACTGCTGCTGCCGCCTCCGCTGCTGCTGCTGCAGGGGGCGCCGCTGGTGCGGGGGCTGTCCCGTCCGTGATGGGGTGGCTCACTCGCCCGCGCCTGCCCGCTGCTGACGAGCGCGTGCACTGGGTGCGTGCATGGGTGGGTGGGTATGGACGGGGTGGGCGTGGGAGTGGGTTGGGTTGGGTTGAGTTGGGCTGGGCTGGGCTGGGTTGGGTTGGTCTGGGTTGGGCTGGGGTGGGGTGGGGTGGGGTGGGACGGGGTGGGGTAGTGTGGGTCCTGCCCGCTGCTGACGAGCGCGTGCACTGGGTGGGTGGGGGCGGGGTGAGGGTGAGGGTTGGAAGGGGATGGGTGGCATGTATCAATTGCCATTTGTTCCCCGTACGCCAGCGCCATGCCATTGCTCTCTCATCTCGTGCTCCCCCTGTCCTTCCGCACCCTCTGTCTCTACATCTCTCTCACTCTCCATCCCTCGTTCTCGATTTTGAAGAATATCAAAAATCGCTCACAAGGTGCGTGCCACTCTCCATCCCTCGTTCTCCACCAGGTGCGTGCCAGGCCAGGCGGGGAGGTGCCGCAATGCGCTGACTGCTAAGCCGCTTCACAAGCCATCCTAGTTGTTCTTCCCCCATCCCTCTCTTGTCTTGGCACATCAATCATCTCCCACCAGGTGCCTGCCAGGCGAGGAGGTGCCGCAATGCGCTGACTGCCACGGCTCTTCCCGTATGAACATGCCCATCTTAATCGTTCTTTCCCCATCCCTCTCTTGGCAGGTTCCTGGCGGGGAGGTGCCGCAATGCGTTGACTGCTAAGCCGCTTCAGAAGCCATCCTAATTGTTCTTTCCCCATCGCTCTCCTCTCTGCGCACATGAATCATCGCCCACCAGGTGCCTGACGAGGAGGTGCCTAAATGCGCTGACTGCGCTTCAGACTTTGGCACGTTCAACCGCAGGGTATGTTATGTTCCTTTCCTACCCCTTACATTACAATCACAGCACGTGCTGCCCGTTTGTTTGCACTGCAATGTGAGTGACGGCATTTTTTTTGTGAAAAGTCCTGAGCTTTGCTTTGGCCCACCTTACATTGTCCGTAGCATCGCCTGCACTCGCCCGACATCCATCCACATTGACTCACTTGGTTCTTGCTCTCTCTCCGCAGCCCACCTGTCCTCTCTTGACCACTCGCTTCTTGCTCTCCTCTCTTCTTTGGCTCTCCTCTTTCTGTGCGTCAGTGACGTATGCTTACCCAAAACAACTGTCGCAACTGTGGCAGCATCTTGTGTGCCAACTGCACCGTACATGCAGGACCGCACCCCGAGTTTGTGTAACGTGGTCTCAAGTCACCTCGCTCGCACCCTTCTTTCCTTCATTCTTCCCTCTTGCGCTTGTGCTTGTGGTTGTGCGTGTGCATGTGCCCATCCCAGCTCCACTGTCGCAACTGCGGCAACATCTTCTGTGACAAGTGCAAGCGGGGCTCTCTCCTTTTTTTGGCCCAACGCAAGAGTTTGCTGTCTCCCTGTCTCTCGCCCCACCCCGTGTGCTGTTGGTGTGTGCCCATCCCAGCACCACTGTCGCAACTGCGGCAACATCTTCTGTGACAAGTGCACGCGGGGCCGCACCCCTCTCTCCTCTGAGCCTGATGCTGCCCCCGTGCGCGTCTGCGACGCCTGCCTGGTACAGCCACCCCTGCCCCCTCAACTCAACACACGTGGCACCTGTCATGCATACCTCACATCCCTCACATCAATTCACATCACCTCGCATCACCTCGTTTACCCACCACCCATGGCACACGTACGTCGTGGGCTTGCTTTTCGTCTCCTCCCGCCCTCCCTTGTTCCATCTCTCATTCCCCTGTCCAACTTCCACCTCTCACATTCCCGTTCCTTCACCCGCCTCTGTGTTTCCCCCCCTTGGCAATTCTCTGGCGAGTTAGAGCTTCCCATAATTCTTTGCCCCGCCTGTCCTCCATGTTCCATCCCCGCTTCCAATAGACTTCACCTCGTATTCGTTCTTACTCCCATGCTGCCCCCCATCTCTCTCCCCTTTCTTCTTCGTCTTCCTTTATCGCTCTTCTCCTGCCCCCATCCCCCCGCCCCCCCCCCCTTCTTCACTTATCCCCTTCCTGGGTCCCCGCATGTGCCCTCTCATGTCCCACCCCAGGCGGAGGTCACCCAGCGACTGACCAACGAGAGGGAGCTAGAAGCAGAGGGCTCGTTTTAGTACCCCTCCTCCACTCCTTTTCCTGTTTACAGACGTCACAAAGCATCCCCTATCCGTCCTCTCATGCCCTATCTCAGGCTGAGGTCACCCAGCGACTGACCAACGAGAGGGAGCTAGAAGCAGAGGGCTCGTTTTAGTACCCCTCCTCCACTCCTTTTCCTGTTTACAGACGTCACAAAGCATCCCCTATCTGTCCTCTCATGCCCTATCTCAGGCTGAGGTCACCCAGCGACTGACCAACGAGAGGGAGCTAGAAGCAGAGGGCTCGTTCAAGTACCCCTCCTCCACTCCTTCCGCAGCAGCAGCGAGCGGAGGGGGAACAGGAGGGAGCGGCGGCAGCAGCAGTGGCGGCAGCAGCGGTGCAGGGAAAGGGGGGGGGAGGAGCCACGAGCAGCTGCTACGGCAGCTGCAGCAGGAGATGGAACGCAACGCCTCGTCCGTCCCACCCGCTGTCCGCAACTCCTCCTCCTCCTCTTCCGCCCGCCGCCACTCCTCTACCTCCTCCGCGCCCCACTCTGCGCATCGCTCCTCCTCTGCTCGCTACGGCGGCGGCGGCGGCGGTGGTGGTGGTAATGCGTATGGCTCTGGTGCTCCTGTGCTGAGCACGTGCAGCCGGTGCAATGCGGTCGCGTTGCTGCCGCACCCTGCCGCTTCCTGCCCCACCTGCGGTGCTGCCGCCGCCCCCTCCCCCTCTCCTCCCCCCTCCAGGGGGGAGAGCGCGGGGGGAATTCCGAGTGGCCCTCCGCACCTGTGGCCGGGGGATGGGGGGTCGATGGGGGGGAGCGGCGGAGGCGGGATGGGAGGGGGAGGGTCGGGAGGGGGGCCGAGGATGCAGCAGGTGGCGTGCCCGACGTGCACGGTGCATCTTGAGGTGAGCACTCTTATAGTCGGCTCGACTCTGCAGGGTGTTTTTGATTTGAGAATCCTCAAAAACACCCTGCAGAATCTTGAGGTGAGCACTCTTATAGTCGACTCACAAGTGACCTCCATCGATGCACCAGGTGGCGTGCCCTGCATGCCCTGCATGCGCTGTGCATCTTGAGGTGAGCAGGGGGGGTTGCTGCCTGCCGCTTTGAGACGCGTCTCACAACGAGTGGTGTGTTTCCATCCACGTGCACGGCGCATCTTGAGGTGACAAGGGGCTCACTCACTTTGAGTCGACTCACCAGTCATGTCGTGCAGTGCAGTGCAGTGCAGTGCAGTGCAGTGCAGTGCAGCAGATGGTGTGTCGTGTGCTACATACATGCACAGAGTGAGTGCATCTTGAGGTGTGGCAGTGCAGTGCAGTGCAGCACCACCCTGACCTTGAGGAGCAGTGCTGCTGCTTGTTTCTTGAGAGTGAGACGTCTTTGCGCTCCTTGCCAGTGCGCGGCCTCACACATCACCCCTCCTTGCCTCTGGACTGGACTCTGCTAGTTGCCTCTCTGTAACCCCAGCACATCACCCCTCCTTTCTCCACCTTTGCACCCCCCCTTCCCCACCCTCCTTCCTCCCCCCCCCCCCCCCTCCCCCTCCCGTCACACTTTCCTCTGGGTGTCCCTCGTGCAGGTGCAGCTACCAGCATCGGGCACAGAGACAGTGGAGTGCGGTGTGTGCCAACACCCCTTCCTCGTAGCCGCACTGCAGTAATGCTGCTGCTGCTGCCGTTGCTGCTGCTGCTGGGTTGACGGGATGGGATGTTCTCTTGTGCTGCTGGTGCTGCTGGGTTGTACTGCATTGGTGGAGTGAGAGGGAGGGACTGAGTACAAGTGGGAGGGGGAGGGGGAGGTGGGCAGCTGCAAGCATGACAAGGCAGGGGCATGGCATATGGATTGGACGGCTGGTGGTGTGGTGGAGAGCAGTGCAGTGGTGTGGTGGAGAGCAGTGCAGTGGTGTGGTGAAGAGCAGTGCAGTGGTGTGGTGGAGAGCAGTGCAGTGGTGTGGTGGAGAGCAGTGCAGTGGTGTGGTGGAGAGCAGTGCAGTGGTGTGGTGGAGAGCAGTGCAGTGGTGTGGTGGAGAGCAGTGCAGTGGTGTGGTGGAGAGCAGTGCAGTGGTGTGGTGGAGAGCAGTGCAGTGGTGTGGTGGAGAGCAGTGCAGTGGTGTGGTGGAGAGCAGTGCAGTGGTGTGGTGGAGAGCAGTGCAGTGGTGTGGTGGAGAGCAGTGCAGTGGTGTGGTGCAGAGCAGTGCAGTGGTGTGGTGGAGAGCAGTGCAGTGGTGTGGTGGAGACTGGCAGCTGCAGCATCTGTGTGCATGGCATGCATAGTATGCAATGCAGCAACCTCTCTTTGCTATACGGTAGCTACTAAGCTATACCTAGGAAGGAAAGATGGAGGGAGGTGAGTATTTTAGGAGCCTTGGAGACAATGATGATGGTTTCTGGCCTTGCAACTTGTTCATATTACCACAGATTGTAGAGCTGGAGAATACATATTGATGATTTCTAATTGAATGTCATTCATGAGCATACAGGCTAGTTTTCTTTGCAAGTCTTTTATTGTACAGAGTGTCAAACTATATCTGTGCTGTTGGAAACAATAGTTCCTAAGCGCCTCTGTCGTGTCGAAACACCAAGGCACAAGCGAAGCAGAGCATATCGAGGCACCAGCAAGTCAACCTTCGGAGGTTGCGCGAAAGTCCAAGGTCAGCGACCTTTGACCTGACAAATGCAGCACGACAGCAAGGACACACAACTGACTCTTTACAGAGCAGTTGCCCGAGTCGTCACTGTATCGAACCGCAACAGCAACAGTAGAGTAGTTACGGTATAACTGTGTCTCTTCATATTCTCTGTACGGTATTCATATATAATCTTGTATCTCTTTGCTTTAAACAATTCACTTTGCCCTCACATACTAGTGCAAGGTGGTTCACAAACTCTTTATTAAGACGCTTCCGCTACTACATCAACTCTACCCAGAATTCACCTCTGCAAAGATCCTAAGGGCTTTTTCAGCCCAACATGTGCTAGTTGTGTGTAGGTTATAGTGGGGTAGCCATATGGGGTACGACCCAAAGTTAGGGTTAGTACTTATACCCACAATTCATTCAGTGCAATCATTCATGCTTGCTATCTTGACATGGTATCAGAACAGTAGGTCCGTAGGACCGCTTTTTTTCGGTCCCACCATACTTAGCAACCGCCTGCGGTTACCGTGTTACCCCACTACCCTGCTTCGCGCCGCCCGCGCACGCCCTGCCCTGCATTGCCTTGCGTCACACTTCCCGTGTATGCCCTGCCCCGCGTCACGCTGCCTCGCGCACGCCGTGCCCTGCCCTGCGTCGTGCTGCCTCACGCACGCCCTGCCCTACCCCGCGCACGCCCTGCCCTGCCCCGCGTCGCGCTGCCCCGCGGACGCCCTACCTTGCTCCGCGTCACGCTGCCTCGCGCACGCCCTGCTCTGCGCGTCGCGCCCTAAGGCAGCCCGTCACGTCACGCTCTGCTGCCCCGCGCGTCGCGCCCTGCTGCAGCCCGCTCGTCGCGCCCTACGGCAGCCCGCGCGTCGCGATCTGCTGCCCCGCGCGTCGCGCCCTGCTGCAGCCCGCTCGTCGCGCCCTACGGCAGCCCGCGCGTCGCGCTCTGCTGCCCCGCGCTTCGCGCTATGCTACCTCGCGCGTCGCGCCCTGCTGCAGCCCGCGCGTCGCGCCCTGCGGCAGCCCGCGCGTCGCGCCCTGCTGCAGCCCGCTCGTCGCGCCCTACGGCAGCCCGCACGTCGCGCTCTGCTGCCCCGCGCGTCGCGCTATGCTGCCTCGCGCGTCGCGCTCTGTTGCAGCCCGCGCGTCGCGCCCTACGGCAGCCCGCGCGTCGCGCCCTACGGCAGCCCGCGCGTCGCGCCGTGCTACCCTGCACAGCGCGCGCCCTACTACCCGCGTCGCCCAGAACGAGCCGCGCCGCCCAGCCCGAGCCGCCCTGCCCAACCGGATCCGCCCTTCTGCTCGTATTACTGCTGCTGCTGCTACTTGTGCTACTGCCTTCACTCTGTACTGCCCTAGAGGTCGCGCTCCTCCTAGCTTGCCCACCATGACTTCACTTTGTAGTAGCGGTGGGAGTGGTGACGGCGGTGGTGGTAGCAGTGGGAGTGGTGGCGGCCATAGCAGCAGTCACTGTGGCGCTATTTGGTGCAGATTTTCTGGCGGTGGCCAGATGCAGCTACGGCGGCGTCCGACCCTTACGCCCCAGCAGCTTCGTGAGTGGCTTTACCAGCGTGGGACGTCTCCGAGTCCTGGTCGCTGTCCGTACGTCATTCGCACAGGTCGTCGAGCTGGTCAGACATGTGGGACACATGGTCACGCACAGTCCCGCTGCTTCGCCTATTTGACTGACGCCTGGCACGCAGAGTTTGGCGACGAGGCGGAGACCCCCCACTGGCTTGAGCTGCTTAGGTCGGGCGTTGATGTCTTTGCTTTAGACTATGACGCCATCCTTACTGCTATGTATGCTTTGCCTGGTGGTGCTGAGGGTGACTGTTACCTGTGTGTGCAGTACGACCCCGGTATAGAGGTTGCTGCCCTAGGTGCTAGTGAGGCGGCTGCTTTAGGTGCGAGCGAGACTGCTCTCTCAGGTACTGCGCCTGCTGAGGCCTTGCACACCTTCACGCTTGACTCAGGTGCTTCCCGCTGCTTCTTCCGTGACACTACCGCACTCACACCACTCCCTGCACCTGTTGCAGTCTCTCTAGCTGACCCCTCAGGGGGCCCAGTTCTTTCACGGTCCACCACTGTGCTTCCGTGCCCGGCGGTTCCGTCTGGCTCACAGTCAGGTCTCCACCTCCCCTCGTTCTCGACGAATTTGGTGAGCAACGCTGTCCTCCAAGATCATTGGGTTGACACCTTTACCCCTGGAGGACAGCATGTGGCGATATGTACATACTCCAGGACTGGCCGTCACCTGGCCGCGTTCACCCGTCGGCCAGGGTCGAGCCTTAACACATTGACGACTGTGTCTCCTCAGGTAGCTGCTGTCGGTCAGGTGTCTGCGTCAGGTCTGGTAGCCTCCCCCTCTGAGTGCCGCTCCCTGTCACACCAGACTCTTCTCTAGCACCACTGCCTGGGTCACCCCTCCTTGCCACGTCTCTGTGGCATGCACCGTCGCCTCCTTGTGTCTGGTCTTCCCAGGTCTCTCCCTCCCCTCCTTGCCTCGCCTGCGCCGCCCTGCCTTCCTTGCGTCGAGGGGCGGCAGCGCGCCACTTCTCACTCCTCCTCGTTTCCCCCGACAGAGGCTCCTGTGCAGACCCTCCACCTGGACGTGTGGGGCTCAGCCTACGTTCGTGGACAGGGCGGTGAGCGGTACTTTCTGCTGGTTGTCGACGACTACTCGCGTTACACCACGGTCTTCCCCTTGCACACCAAGGGTCAGGTCCTTGCTGTCCTGATCCCTTGGATCCGAGCAGTTCGTCTCCAGCTCCGCCGCAGGTTCCGCCAGGACCTTCTTGTCCTGCGTCTGCACTCTGACAGAGGTGGTGAGTTCACCTCCGACCTCTTGCGGGTCTTCTGTCAGGGGGAGGCATCGAGTAGTCGTTCACGCTTCCGGGCTCACCGCAGCAAAATGGGGTTGCTGAGCGCCGCATTGGCTTGGTCATGGAGATCGCACGTACCTCCTTGATCCATGCGGCGGCTCCCCATTTTCTGTGGCCGTTTACGGTCCGGTACGCCGCGCAGGAGCTCAACCTCCGGCCCGTGTCTCCTTGCCGGAGACCTCGCCCACACTGCGTTGGACGGGGGAGGTTGGCGATGCGTCGCGTTTCCGAGTCTGGGGTGCTCGTGCCCTTGTCCGCGATACGTCCACGGACAAGCTCTCCTCCCGCACCATTCCCTATGTCTTCCCTGGCTTTGTCCTTGACGCGCCTGGCTGGCAGTTTTACCACCCCACCTCGCGTCGTGTCTTCCCCTCTCAGGACGTCACCTTTGACGAGCCGGTTCCTTTCTACCGTCTCTTCCCCTATCGCACTGCCCCTCTCCCTCCCCCGCCGCTTTTCCTCGCTCTAGGTCCCCCTCCGGTAGACCCCCTCCCCCTTCAGAGTCCTGCTCCTTCAGGTGTGTGTCTCAGGTAGACCCGCTCCCCTTGGCTGAGCTTGTAGAGGTCACTAGCGACTCAGGTGCTGGTGCGGAAGGTGCTGCTGGGGGTGTCGCGTCTGGGGGTGCTGAGCCTGTGCATGAGGTGCTGGGGGGTGCGGAGCCTGGGGGTGCTGAGCCGGAGGGTGCCGGGTCGGGGGGTGCTGAGTCTGCTGGCGTTCCTCCGGGTCTTGTTTCACGCCGAGGGCCTCTCTCACCACAACAACTTCGACAGTGGCTTGCGTCGCGTACCCGGCTGAGGAGTCGTGCTGCTGGAGCTGGAGGTCCTGCTGCTGGAGGCACTGGAGCTGGAGGCCCTGGAGCTGGTGCTGCCGATCCTGGGGCTGGGGGTGCCGGCCTTGGGAATACTGAGTGTGTTGGTGCTGAGCCTAGTGGTGCTGAGTCCGCTGGAGATTCTCATGGTGCCGCGTCGCAACGGTCACCTCTCTCGCTGCAGAAGCAGCGCGAGTGGCTTGCTTCGCGCACCTTCCTTCGGAGTCGCGCTGCTGGAGCTGAAGGTGCCGGTTCTGGGGGTGCTGCTGCTGGTGGCGCTGGAGCTGGAGGTGCTGCTGCTGGAGGTGCTGCTGCTGGAGGTGCTGCAG